TTGTTGCTACATTAATCCCACCTTATTCAACTTGCTGGTTGAATGAGGTGGGACTAATTCCGGTTCATTAGTTATGGCTTGTGCTAAGTAGAGACTCTAAGTAGAAATTCTCTTGATATTCAATTTTTTACATTTTTAAATTTTTCTTTTAAATGTGTTATATAAAATTTAATGAGAAGTTTTAAAAATTTAATAAATTTAAAGTTTACAGTGATATAAATATTCAATTATTCTCTATAAATATTTAGTTATTGAGGATTTGAATTCTATGGTAGTTTTGTTTTGTTGTTGCATAATATATTATTTAAATTGGAAGCTGAAGTAAATATAACTCGGATGTTTTGCTTTCTAAATTTTCTTCAGAGTTTTGGGCCATTAATAGGTATTTGTTTTGAAAACAGCTTTTTCAAAAAATACATTTTTTGTAAAAGCTGTTTTCAAAAAATGTATTTATGAGGAAATCAATTTCTTATGAGAGATGTGTTTGAGAGCAGATTTTTTTGCTCTACATAAAATTTCTTTAAAGATGCCAGTGGCTATGCTAGGGTTGATGTTGGAGTTCAGTACAGTGTACTTGAAACTCATAAAATCCGTTGATTTTAATTGTAAAATAAATATCTAAAAAATTAAGTTGTTTTCTTTTGTTTTCAAGTTCAACACTATAAATAATGAAGGGGTTTTGTTTGCTCAAGGTTTTAAGAAACAATTCTTGTTTTTCTTTCAAATCGAAACAAGCATGGCTATCATCCACATATCTTTTGTCAGTTATTGGCTGGAATGAATTAACAAAGGCTATGTTAAGGGCTTTTTTTCTATACTTTGCAAAAATGCCTCAGCTATGATTACCATCAACCATAAAACCAATTGGATCTAAATTAGGTAAATTCAAATTTTATCTTCGTATAAAAAATAACACTTGCTTAATGAAAGTTCAACTAACTGGTGTATATCAGCAAGAGTTAATTTAGTCGACGTCAACATTTTCAAATCCTCAAAATCAAAGTTTAATCTCTTAACAATAACATTGCTTCATCAATTGGTATGGATGGATATAAACTAACTACATCGAATGAAACTTGAATTTTATTAGGGCCTACCTTCCATTCTTTAGCATCATAGACAAAATTTCTTGAATTAATTAGTCATGTTGTATTTTTATTTAATGTTGGTTGAATAATTTTAACCACATACTCTGATGTTCCATAAGAAGGTGTGTTAATAGTGGAAACCACAGGACACATTGGAGAGTTTTTTAACTAATTCAGGTAATTCAGTTTTTTAAACTAATTTAGGTCTAATTGGTTTATAGTTCACGGTAGTAATAGCTGAGGCATTTTTGCAAAGTGTAGAAATAAGAATCCTTAATAAAGCCTTTGTTAATTCATTCTAATTAATAACTCACAAAAGATATGTGGATGATGGCCATGCTTGCTTCGATTTAAAAGAAAAACTTTCTTCGATTAAAAAGAAATTTCTAAAAACTTTGAATGAACAAAAGCCCTCCATAAAATATACTGTTAAACTTGAAAATGAAAGAAAACAACTTATTTTTTTAGATATTTGTATTACAAATACAATGAACAGATTTTATGAGTTTTAAGTATACTGTAAGGATGCAATTACAAATGTTCAAATAAAACCAAACTCCAACATCAACCCAAGCATAGCCATTTGTCTCTTTAAAAAACTTTTATGTAAAGCAAAACAAATCTGCTCTCAAAAGCATCTCTCACAAGAAACTGATTTCCTCATAAATAGATTTTTTGAAAACGCCAATAACAAAAGTAATCTTATTTAAGTAAACAAAAACTAATTAGACAGTGTTTCAAAAATTACTACATCTAAACATACAGATAAACAATTTGTTAAACTACCTTGGAAACCTATTATTGGCCCAAAACTATGCAGAGAATTTAGAAAACAAAACATCCAAATTATATTTACTTAACTCCCAATTTAAATAATATGTTATGCAACAACAAAACTACCTCCAAACTCAAATCTGGGAGTTTACCGACTTAAATGCTCATGCGGTAGTATATATATTAGTAAGACAAAGAGAAAATCATTTCATAAAGTGCAGAACACCAAATAGCCTGTAAAAATCAAAAATGGTTCAATAGCTAGAGAGCGTTCTAGAACATGATGTGGTAACTTTGATTGGCTGAATTCTAAGACCTTGGCAGTCATTCCAAAATACAGTAAAATAAAAAACTAAAGAATCTCTGGAGATAAGCAAAGCAAGAGTTCGATATGAGATAGGTATTAGGCAAGTTGTTCTAAATTGAGATGACAATATTAAAACAAAAGCTTGGGGACCTATTTTGATAAAAACTTAACTGATCTCAATATTATATTATTTGATTTGGTTTATACTTGACCCTTTTTAATGTTTTCTTTTTTAAAAGTTTTTTTTTATGTTATATTGCAATGTTTTTTAATTACCAGATGACACTGACCACATTAGGTTAGCCAAATATCGTTAATAAATTTTATATCAAAATATATTTAAAAATGGTTATATGCTGCCTTTTTTATTGAAATCAACTTGCCCAAACATGACATAGTATTAAATTAAAAATTTTTTTTAATTTTTGGAAATCCTAAGAGTCCTTAAAAGAGGGAATTATTAAGGCATTTTGCACCATTTTAAAAACAGTTTGTAGGAAGTATTGAAAAAAATATTTTTGAATTTTTTGTAATGTTTACGTTTGTAAAAACTTATTTAATCAAAATGGGCTCTAATCTCAAAGAAAAGTTTTAAACTTATAAAAATTATTTCGAAAAACACTAAAATCCATAAATATTAAGCAAAGCATGTAAGTACAAAATGCTTTTTTTAAAATTCTAGAAACTTATAAAAGTGCAAGTTTTCGACAGTGCTGTATTGATTTCTCAATCATAAGAGATATTTCTTTCATAACAACCTCTAAAAGCTTCAGAGGTTGTTATGGAAAATATGTAAAAGAGAAGACTTGGACAGAGAACAAAGATATATTTTCTGTAATCAATATTCAAAACCTTATTTAATTAAAAAAAAATTAAACTCATAAAATAAGAAAAAATTTTAAACCAATAGTAAAATATGTTTTAAACTAAAATACAGAAATAAATTTATGATCCTCTTTATTCTCTCTTTAAATATTGTTATTAAAAAAAACACAAGAAACTAGACTTTTTCAGAATCTGTTTTCCCTGCCTTTTCTGTTTTTGTTTTTTTTTAATAATTATTTATAAAAAGAAAGATCCTTGCCTTTTCTCCTCAGAATCTCACATGTCACAAAAACTAGCCTTTCCAGGTCTAAGTATGTCAAAAACTAGTCACTAATTTTTGACATACTAGACATGGAAAGGCTAGTTTTTGTGACATACATAGACTTGTTTATTGTTAATGAAGTCTATCTAGGAGGCTCATCTTCCCTGAAGTTGAGATAACTCAATATACTCCAAAGGATAAGGGTCATTTGGGCGTCTTGGTAAACTGTACAGTTTTTTGGTCATATCACAACATTTCCTCATTCTTTATCTGTTAGGGCAAAAACTACCAAAGTATTTCTGAGAATAGAGATTGAAGCAAATTCCAAGTAAATATTCAAAAAAATTTATTTGCCTGTAAGTTTTCGTATCCTATTAAACAATATCAATTAACACTTTGAATCACTTTAATAATGAGCTTTTAACTTATTATTAAAATACTAAAAGATACCTGTGTTGGTGCCAAGGAACCTAGCTCTGCTTTTAGAAACCACTCTATATAGAAAAGACAAATTAATAAAGCCATAGCAATTAATTCTTCTTTGTGTTTGTCAGTCAAGTTTCAAAATTCATTAACTACAATCTAGATCTAGATACAATTTTAAATGTCTTTCCCAATAAATTTTAAATGACAAACTGGTTCCTGGTAACTAGGTTGGTAAAAAACTGGTTGTTACTTCTGTAACTGGTTTGGTAAGTGAAATTTAAACCTATTTCAGGAGCTATTCAACAAAAGTAATTTGGGCAGCAATACTCCCGTGGCAAATGTGTTGTAGGGTTACATCAATGAAAACATTGCCAAATAAAGGCATATTTCCACAAAAATGCCTTTATTTGGCAATGATTAAAAAAAAACAATACTTGCCAAATAAAATTAAATTTAAAAAAAGTCCTCTAGTTCCCAAGGCTTTCAAAACTTGCCAAAATACTTCAAAATTGATCAAAGACTGTTGAAAAATATATTTGTTTTCCCAGCCTAATTTGTCTCGGGTTTAAATAGAAAAACTTAATTAATAATCTTAATTATTCTTACATAACTCTGCTTATAGATTTTTATTTAACTTTTACTTCTTCATACATCTTTTATCTCCTCCTCCAAGTTTTCCTTTTCATTCACAAAGCTGGTTTTTTAAGAAAGCAATACCTTCTTCTTGTCTTTTACTTTTATCATTTGATTTTTTGATATTTCCTCAAACATAACATAAAGATGATCTTCTGTCTAAAATACTTTAATAATTTGTTCTTAAAACAAATGTCTTTTATTTACTTCAGCATTCATTCATGGATTTTAGGGTTTTTTGAAATAACTTTTATGAGTTTTAAATTTTGTATCTACTATACTGTATTGTATTTTTATATAAATAAGCTATCTAGTATTGCATATTTATATAAGCTTTTGGTCACTTTTATTGCTTATCTCAATCCAGACGGCTTTTTTAGAAAAAGAAAAAACAAACAAAGAATAACGAATGAAAAGATTGCTGCCTCATACCAAACCCTCAGTTGATGTAGCAGCACTCCACTGCGAGTCAGCCTATTTGTCAGTCAATGTATGTACTGAAGCCCCCAGCAGCAGGCTATTTCAGTATGACGTCAGATTACTTACCTTAGTACGCAATACTATTTGTATATGTATATATATATATATATATATATATATATATATATATATATATATATATATATATATATATATATATATATATATATATATATATATATATATATACACTATAATAACTTACCATTGCTAGCATCTTCATGAGTTAAAGAAACCATAATTTTCCATATGCTAAGGCAGTAGTAATAGCAATATAATGCAAACAAGTGTTTATCATTCACTCCCATCATGCAACTAAGGTATTTTTCTTTAAAATCTTCGAAAGATTTTGTTTCACATTTTGTATCAACAAGTAAAATCCATTCTGCCATTTCAAAAGGGTTAATCATAATGTCCAAAATATTTCCTATATATAATTACAACTATTAATAATTTTTAACTATAAATGTATGTAAATGCAATTTTAACATTAGTAAACTATAAAGGAAAAAAAATTTAAATATACAACAAATAATTAAGCACAAAAATATTAATTTTTTTAAATTATATTATTTATATTTATTTTCATTTTTTTATAGAAAGGTTTATGTTTTATCTTTTATGCCAAGATTACAGACTTTAACTATATTGCTCACAGTATACTTTTCATACTACATAAACCACTTTACATCCTCAACATTACATTGTTAACACTACATCATTTATATAATTTCATTAACAAATAAAATATTTTTCAAACCTTCATAAGTATATTTATTAAGGAAAACTTTTTCTGTTGATTTTATTGATGTTGCATTTGCTATTATTGAAACTTTATTTTTAACATAATCTTTATTTGATTGGTTACTATTTTCTTGATATATATCTTTTATCAACTTTTTGTCAGTATTCACACTGGTTACCATGGTTAATTCCCACTGTTTATAAGCTTGGTAATAAACATACAAGATTTGTTGTTCTCTTAGTGAAAAATCTTGAATTTCAGAAAACTGTACTAAAAATTCACTGAAATTCATTTTTCTATGCGTTTTATCAGCAAAATATTTTTCAAAGTTTAACAACGAAGATGGTAAACTAAATACTTTAATCGTAGAAGATAGTGTGTAGCTAGATGGAGTCAAAAATAAAGAAATTCTTAACAGTTCATTTAACTCGTCTTCATTATCAATTGTTTCAAGCCAGTTAAATAATGACAAATCTTCAAATTGAATAAAAAAATTATTTGAATCCAAAGAAATATTTCTTGGTATTATCCTTAAACGAAGTTGATTTGAATCAACCTTTCTTTCTACAACTGTAATCCACTTGTTATGTCTGTAAACCAAAGTATACACAACAAACCAATCAAACTCTTTTGCTGAAACTGTTCCCCAAAACTTCATCTTGAACTGTTTAAAGTTTTCTATTAAAAGATTTGATGAACTTGCCCATATTTCTAAAAGTTCAGCAACTACATATGGATAAGCCCACATTGAAAACAATTCAGAAAGTTGATATGCTGGCAGTTCCTCTATATCATCCAGTTGCTCTAACTCTAAAGTGTCTGAAGACAAAATTTTGTTGGAACTCATGTCACTTTTAGAAAAAATTTCATTATCACTTTTTATGTCAATTCGTTCCTTCCAATCCACATCATCTAACAGCTGGTCAGCAGATGAAGCATGTTCAAAATTACTAAGTGTAAAATCTAATGGTTTTTCATCTACTAATGTCTTAGCTTGAGAATTAGAATAAATTTGGTTTCCCTGGTAACCTGTTAGATTTGTATTTATATGAGAACAGCTTCCTGAAATGATTTTCCTTCCACAAAAAAAGCAATACAACAAATACATTTCTATTAAATTTAGCTCTTGTACTTGTGGAAAAAACGATTTAAAATCGTCAAGTGTTGAAAAATCATAATCAGTATATACTTTCTCAATAAATATGAGCATTTCAAAAAGATTACTTGGGTTAATAGCTGGATGAGGAAGTTGAATTTTTTTTGTCTCTGATTCAATAATTTTATCTAAAATAAAAAAATGAAAAGATTATAAAACATAGTACAGAAAAAACAACTAAATACCATATGCGTTGAAAAAATGTTGAAGAATGAGATATATAGCCTAAGCTCTCATTCTCATTTTTGTATATAATTTTTGTTGTTATAATGGTTGTTTGTAATGTCTCATGATTGCATAAAGCATGAAATTCCAAGTCATATATATATATATATATATATATATATATATATATATATATATATATATATATATATATATATATATATATATATATATATATATATATATATATATATATATATATATATGTATGTATATATATATATACATATATATATATATACATACATATATATATATATATATATTTATATATATACATATATACATATATATATATATATATATATATATATATATATATATATATATATATATATATATATATATATATATATATATCCTATTTGGTTATCATAAAAAAGCAATGAAATTTGTTTATTTTTAGGAATGAAAACATAAAACGTGCTTGCCACAGCACGGTGCCATTTTCAACTTTAAGTAAACCCAAATATAACTCGTTTCTTTAGTATGTTAATTTGACTGTATAAGGTCAGTTTTTTATTGATTTATATATATACATACTTTATTGATTTATATATATATATATATATATATATATATATATATATATATATATATATATATATATATATATATATATATATATTTTATTGATTTATATATATTTTTTATTGTTTTATATATATATATATATATATATATTTTATTGATTTATATATATATGATTTATTGTTATATATATATATATATATATATATATATATATATATATATATATATATATATATATATATATATATATATATATATATATATATATATATATATATATATGTATATATATATATATATATATATATATATTTATATATATATATATATATATATATATATATATATATATATATATATATATATATATATATATATATATATATATATATAATTTACATGCATATTCCTCACTGATTATTTCTTACCTTATTTACTTCAGTAAAATAAAAAGTTTTTTTCCAGAATAAATTATTTTATTTCAGTAAAATAATTTATTCTGAAAAAAAACTTTAAGAGCAAAAAACTTAACATGCGCACCATTTCCGCATACATAAAGCTTATAAAAGACTTATAATTAAGTTTTTTTTCTGCTAAATGGAATTCATAGATTCATAGCTCAGTGGTTAAGTGCACTGTCATCAGTGTTATTTTGGAGGGTTTAAGACCTCTTAGCGTAACAAACGTAATAAATTTTGAAATTTTTACAATCTTGCTTATACAAAAACAAACAGTATATTCTGATGTAAATAGATATTCTGCCTGCAAACTCAACATATGCTAAAGACGTTTACACTTACAGATGTTTGAACATAATGCTATACGAATGGAACTAAGAAAATCTTAGACCACTAAAACATAAAAAAAATTCATTCTTATGATTATGATTAAAAACTAAAGAATATTTTTAAACGCTAATCTAAAAGTTAAGCCAAAAAGATTTTGTGTATTGATGTTAGTTTGTGGGAAAATAAACCTTTATGCGCCAAGTTTCCTTTTGCATTTATCTTACATTTTTTTATTAATTTTAATTATGTTGCATACAAATGCATAAAAATATATAAAACTGGTACAGATATATATCATTGAGATATATATCATTGAGATATATATCATTGAGATATATATCATATATATATATATATATATATATATATATATATATATATATATATATATATATATATATATATATATATATATATATATATATATATATATATATATATATATATATATATATATATATATATATATATATCAGAATAATATATATATATATATCAGAATAATATATATATAAATATTGCTTAATTAAAATATATCCTATAAAAATATATTTCATATACCTTTACTAGAAAGAGTTTTTAAAAATCTTATTTCTATGACTATCATTTTTATAGGTCTAAGAAGCAGATGATGTAGTTTTAGCAATCAGAAATTATCGAGAGAGGGGCAAATCTAAAGCTGAATTCTCAAATTTTCCACTTGGATGTGACAATATGTTTCGTGTTTTTTCAATCTTTTAAATATAATAACATAACTTCAAAAAATCAAAACAAAACATATATATATATATATATATATATATATATATATATATATATATATATATATATATATATATATATATATATAAATATATATATATATATATATATATATATATATATATATATATATATATATATATATATATATATATATATATATAAACAAATAGCATATTTGTTTATATATACATTGTTTATGTAGGGATGGTTAAGCGCAACAAAGTTTAAAGAAAAAATTATATTAAAATTAAAAAATGGTTTATATGTTTCTTTGCAAACATGAATACACTATATTAAAATTTGCACTGAATTATATTAACTGAACTATATTAAAAAGCGCACTAAACTGCAATTACTTTAATTTTTTTTGGTTTAGTGGCTTTTTTAAGAGCTTTTAAATTTTGTGTCAAATTATCTCATTTCAATATATTTGTTGTATCATCTATACTGCAGCCGTTTTTCGAAACGCCTGAAGGTAAAAAAATCAAATTTGACTTTTTCACAAAGTAAGCTAGTTCAGATTTAGATTCAAAAAAATTATTTGTATCAAAAAACGTTTTGAAAAGAGTTTCTCCTCATAATTTTTTTTAATTGCATAATTTAATTTTAATTTTCTTGAAATCCCTAATAAGCAAATTAAGATGTTTTGAAAAACGACTGCAGCACTTTCTGGAGTAGCAGGACTGTCTTAAAAAGTTTTTTCTTTATTAAGTTTCAGACAACATTTTTTTCAGACCATTTACAGCTTATTAGGACTAATTACCTGAGCACTTTAATAACATAAGTATCTCAATGATGACACATACGAAACAAATTTTTTCCCCAGTGTTTTGATGTTTTTAGAAATTTTACCTTTTTAAAATCTTTTTGTTCGTTAAAGTGTATAATATTGTTACATATTTATTTGTATATAATCTCTATAAAACTTCAAAAGTATTTTGTATTTTAAAATAATCGAAAAAAATTAAAAAAAAAAAGTTGCCAGTGGTAGAACTCGAACCATGGATTACTTGTTCAGAAGCTCAGCACGCTATTCACTTGGCCATACTGGAACGTAGTTAAATGAAAATATTTTAAACTATATAATAGTTTTTTTAATGGAAAGAAATGATGTAGATCAAAATTAGGAAGAGTTTGACTCAATGCAGTTTTCAAGTGAAAACCAAACTTTAAAACTTGATAAATGTTTTAGTATGTTTTAACATTACTTAAATTGAAGTTTATGTACGTTAGATATTTGCATGCATGTTCGTTCACCTTTTCTTATAAAATAAAGTGCTGCAACTCTTTTTTGCCACTACCTTGGTTGCAATGGCTGCCAAGGGTTCCATGTCAAACACGCTAGAAAGGGCACTACTACAACTACTACCACTGCCACTAACACTATTAAGTTCGACAATAATATATAGAGATTTTGCACAATTAGAAAAAAATTTAAATAAATAAATTTTTATTACCTTGGTTTGGCAAATAAAAAAGAAGTTTCCATAAACAATCACAGTAATAGTAGCAATAAAGTGCATAAAATTGTTTTTCTGTTGCATCTGACATCTGCAATAAATACTTTGTCTTAAAATCTTCAAATGAATTTGTTTCACTGCTTGTATCAATAAGTAGAATCCACTTTGTCATTTCAAAGGGATTGATCATCATATCGATAATACTTTTGTCTTAAAAAATAAATAAAATATTTAAAATTAATTTATGTTGGAATTTACTTATACATATATATATATATACATATATATATATATATATATATATATATATATATATATATATGTATATATATATATATATATATATATATATATATACATATATATATATATATATATATATATATATATATATATATATATATATATATATATATATATATATATATATATATATATATATATACATATATATCTATATGTATATATATATATATATATATATATATATATATATATATATATATATATATATGTATATATATATATATATATATGTATATATATATATATATATATGTATATGTATATATATATACTCGGAATTAGGGTGGGCATTCAGCAATGCTGACCTCATCTTGATGTTTTATGGAGAGTCCTTTGTATCAAATTTTTTTTGCCAACCTGATGGTGACCTTTAAAAGATTGAGGTCGGCAAATTATTGCCGACCTCAATTTTTCTAATTCTGAGGGTTGTATATAATGTATATATTTTTATGTATATATATATAATACAATATATATATAATATATATTATATATATATATTATATAATATATTATATATATATTTAATATAATATATATATAATATATATAATATATATATAATATACATATTTTTATGTATATATATATATATATATATTTATTTTTATTTATACATATATTTTTTATTTATTTATATTAATAATTTTATATATACATATTTATATATATATGTAAATATATACATGTAATATATATATAAATATAATAATATAATAATATATATAAATATATACATATAAATATATATATATTTATTTATATATATATATATATATATATATATATATATATATATATATATATATATATATATATATATATATATATATATATATATATATATATATATATATATATATATATATATATATATATATATAGTTGAAAATTGCATAAATTACTATTATAATTTACAGCTTAAGTTATAACTTAAAGTTTAAGTTGCAGTCATAGTGTAATGAGCAAGTAACGTATCTAATACTATTATGATAATTTTATTAGTAATTGTTTTTACTTAAAAAGTAAAAGTTAAAAAGTAAGAGTAAAAAGCAAACATTACAATATTTTAAATATTGTAATGTTTGCTTAAATATTGTAATAAACAATATTTAAACTTACTTATATTTAATTATTTATATTTAATACTACTTTAATAGCCATAGAAACTACTAGCCATAGAAAACTATTTCATACGTTCAAGCTGACGATAAAAAACGCAATATTTTTAAAGAGTATTTAATTGTTATTGTAAAAAGCTATAAAACAACAAACTGCAAAGTTGTTTTAAAAATATAAAGAGCTTGTGTTAATGTAAAACAACTTGACGCTGTTTTAAAAATATAAAGAGCTTGTATTAATGTAAAACATGTGACGCTGTTTTATGCTGTTTTATACAGTTTATAACCTTTATAACATAAAATGTGTTTAAAATAAAACGAAGCAAATTAATAAAATTGTTATAATTAAAAAATTAAAACATTGTCATAAAACTTCATATTTGCGTAAAAATATGCCTATAGACCATAAGAGTCTATAATCTATAGACCAAGCAAGTAAGAATAAAGCAAAATAACATTAGATACCACATTTTTTATAATTTGATTCTTGATCAAGCATATTATTAAAAATTTAAGTATAATTAAGTTTTTCATTTAAATGGTTTTTAAATTATTGTTTTCATTAAATTTTTTTATTCAAATTGTTTTCCAAATAAAAAGTGAAACAAAAAAGTTTGCTTTAATAAATTGAATTACAGTCTTCGCCAAACAAATAGCACATGCAATAATTTAGTAAAAATAATAAATATAAATTAATAAAAATAGGTGCATGAAAATATTAAATTTAACACAATAATTAATACATATTTAACACAATTTAACACAAGAAATAAAATGCAAATAAAGAACAATAATGTCTTTGTTCTTGTTTAAAACATGTAAAAAATAAAAAATGAATAAAATGAAAAATACATTATGTGCCAAACTAATAGCGCACACACCATTATACACGTCACACCATTTCAGCAGGTTTTAGAGATTACTAAGACGTAAAAACCTTAATCTAAAAAAAAAAAAGTAAAAAGTCAATCTTCTTACCTTTTTTTCATGATAACCTGAATGCAATGCTTAAGCATGGAGGAAATGAGCGTTTGAAGCAAAAATTGGGGGATTTGGTTTCATTCTATCTGGATGGCCATTTTTAGTTCCGTAAGATTACTGTTTTTTTCCATTTATTTTTAATTGGATTCAGGTCCGGTGACAGCACTGGATGATTAAACTACTGGATGTCATATTCTGTTAAAATCCGTATGTATCTATGCGTTATCTTGCATAAAGACAAACGTATGTTTTGTGTGTTTTTTAATAACGCATGCCCATATGATATTAAGTAATCAGAGATTGTAATAATATTCTTCAGCTTTTTGTTTCCGTTTTAAAAACTTTAATTCAGATAAACCAGCATTGGAAAATGCACCCCAAATCATGATGCCACCACTACCATTGTCTGGACAAGAAAGTCTAGGGCTCTTTTTGTAAGTCATGCCAACTATATTGAAATCCGTCTGGACCATCAAGATTAAATTTCTTCTCATAAGACAAAATAATTGAGCCTTAATCAGATGGACAAGACAAATGTTTGTTCGCATATGCCATATGTTTCTCCATCATATGTTTCTGCATCGCCGGTGTTGACATATGTTTTCAATACCTCAGATGTTTGGCTTCATGTAACGCTCTTTGTATCGTGCGTAATAATACAAGACAATATCCAGTTGGGCGTGTATCAATTGGGAACTACAGCCAGTGTTTGAAGCAACTTGTAATCTGTTACATTTGTCACACTTGGTTAATTTCGAAGCTTAATTTTGGTTGGATTTTGTTTTCAAATATGTTTCAGAATCCTTCAAAATCTTCTCAATCACCTTCCAACTTCGCTGTATATGTTTCGATATCTCAGACATTGACACATTAGCAGCCTTGAATGCTTTGATCATTGCGACTTCTTCAGCATTTAACTTTTTCTAGTTCCACATCCCATAGCAGCCTTCTGTAGCACATATAGTTAGTTCACATGATCACTATTTTGCTATCATGTGAAATAATTATATTTGCTACAGATTTGATACAGATAACAAACTCATTTGTTAGCCATTCATTTTTTACAGTCAAATGCGAAATGACTGACCTGTGCTATCTGTTTGTCACCAGAAAATTTCTTATGATCTTTTGATGCGGGAAAATATTTAGCGTCAAAAACGATATGTTTCTTATTACTTCTCTGATTATGGACTATTTTTAGATATTTTAATGTTTAAAACAGTATAAAATTAATAAAATATATTATATTTATAGAGTGTTATTTGTTTGGCACGGCCTGTATACTTCCTTAAGTTTAAGAATTTGTTTAAATAATTTTTTTTTAAAAACTTTTCTTTGAAAAGAAGCAAAATAATTTATTAATTTTAATTTTTTTATAATTTAATTTTTATTTTAACCTTTGCTTTTATTAGAATGTTTCTACTTTTAAAACTACTTTCAAGAAACAAAATATATATATATTTTTTGTAATTCACCTCCTCAAGGCCGACAAAGCCACTACAGATAAGGAGGCTAATTTATAGTAGTTATAACCCTCTCTTAACTCTATAACTCCGAAACACGAACCCTGACAAACAAGGGTTCATGTTTCGGAGTTATAGAGTTATATACAAGAAACAAGTTGAGTGTGGCACTACCAGGGACGTAATGGGGATCGAATCTTGATTCAAAGCAAAATGAAAATATAACAGAAATGGTGTTGCATTTTTCAATTCAAAAATTTTTGTTAAAATAATTTTTAGTTACAAGCTTATATTATGTGTTAACAATATATAAGATATAAATAGAAACATTTGTATTTATTATTAGGCTAACCTTTGCGAGGCTTTGAGTATATAAGATTATTAAGTATTTAAGTAACTGTAAGTTACTGTAGTAACTTAACTGGTTGTTTAGATTTAGTTTATAAGTAAATTTACTGTGATATTTACTTTTCATCTTTTCAGTAAATCAAAGTAAATATAACTATAAAAGTCTAAAAAATATAAGTTTAAAAGTGATCTAAACGAAGGGTCCTTAAAGCAAGAGACATTGAAGCAAAAAAGTTGCTGGTTTCTATTAGCATTGATTAACTAATAGAAAATTTTTTCAATAAAAACAAGTTAATATATACTTTAATATACTTAAAGTAGCAAAGTTATTAATATAAAACTGTTGATAAAATAATAATTTAAATTATTAATAATAAGTTAATTTAATGCAATTTTAAAAACAAAAATAAAAACCAGGCTGTTTAGTTAAAAAAAAAAAAATTCTCTTCTACACCTTTTCCTATTTCAACTTTTTGCTTTAACGACCTTTTAAAATATTATTGGCTTTCACATCTAGGTTTAATGTAGGTTTAATATATATATATATATATATATATATATATATATATATATATATATATATATATATATATATATATATATATATATATATATATATATATATATATATATATATATATATATATATATATATATATATATATATATATATATATATATTAAGGTTTAATATATATGTATATATATATATATATATATATATATACAGGGGCGGGTTTAGGGTTAGTCTTGTTAGGCGCATTGACTAACATCTTTTTTACTAAACTAAACAACGACTAGGCTAATGAAATATGTTATATATTTTTGAAATTAAATAAAATCTCTATTTTTTTGGTCTAAACAGCAATAGGAATTAAACTATGATAAGTATATGCGCCAAATAGCCCCGTCTTGTAATTTTTTTTCGGTAGCGTAACTTTGGACCAAATTAGTCAAGAAATCTTGCGACTTATCTGGCCCGTTTATTCGG